AGAGAGAGAGAGAGAGGCTTCTTTACTTCTGGAAATGAAGACTGTATTCCTGAAAATTGCTTTTACTTTTGGTGCGACTATGCCGACAACTAAACAGAGGTGGATGGCTTCTTCTGGGAAATTCCTTCTTCATTTGTGAGGAACAAACCTGTTTCAGAGAACCCCAAATTGTTCTAACAATATAATAATTTACCCCATAAGAGAAAAACCCATAACTTTTGCAGGCTTAGAATTGCAAGCCATGTCTTGTATGCCAGTTCTGCGAATTGTTGTATTTCCCCCTTTCTCTTATGTAAATAACTACAGATTTCAGCTCTAATCAAGATAGAGCCAACTTTACAATAGCTCATTCTTGTGTATTTCCTTTTGAAGGGAGTTATTTTAAATGGAGTAAACTTAGATCGTTTTCGATCCAGCAAAAGGTTCAAGGTCCATGTCTGTTTCAAAGTTCTCATTTCTTGACAAAACCTATTTCAGGTTCATGGTAACTCGAAGCTTAGAATAGGCATGGGAGTGTAATAGAAACTATACTTGGGAACTGAATTGATAACTCATTATTGTTTAGTCCCTATTGAAGCCCAATTCAAATGGCGTCCTTTTTGTCGGTTTTGATTTGGCAGAATTGCGAGTCATGTTCTTATGCAAATGCTTTTGTTTTTTAATAGTTTGTTTAGATTTCCAAAAACTGAAAATATTGTTTTTGCCTTGGTTGATTGGCTGAATTTCCTTTTAAGATGTTTCTCAGGTAATTCTAGGATTTCAAGAACATTCTTTTCTCAGTATCTATCTGCAGAAATTTAGAACTCCATGAAAGAATTTTGAAGGGCTTTAGATTGCAAGCATTTTTCGAGATGTGTAAGCTGGGCCTTTTCATTTATTTATCTAACAGTCTGTATTTTATTGAATATTGAGGAACTGATGTAACTTAGATTATTGCATTCGATGTTAGTTGTCGAACAGGGTTCTGAAATGATCGAATTCACTTAAATGCTTTGGGTGCATAAAGGATGAATTCAGACTGTTCTTGAGAAAGTTATGAATATAATTTGTGCAGGCCCCAGTAATAAGTAATGGTGTAACTCAAGTTGTAGAATATGGGGGCCTTGTAGATTGGTCTGCTTGTATGCGTTTTATTGATGTTGATGTAATTGTACTTGATCTCACTAGACAGGTTGTTATCACATTGTTAGCGCATCATAATAATTTCCTCTGAAACGTGTGGCACTTGATTCTCCAGGATTCTGCGTCAAGACAGAGAAATCGAGACCAGTCCAAACCTAACCATCAAAACAATGACCACCATGGCAACCTCACTTCTCTTGCCCTCTCCTTCTTCCACCTTCTCCTCCCAACTCTCTGAAATAACCGCCATTGCCACTCCCCTATACCTTCCCTCCTCTTTGCCCTCCATTTCCCACCCATTCTCTCCCAAAGCGAAAACACTGATCTTCTCTTATTCTTCACCCACCATTCCCTTGTCCTCTTCTTCACCCTATGTTCTTCCCCAATTCTACACTAAACCCAAAACCCTAATCTTTGCCCATTCTTCACTCACCATTCCTCCTCAATTGCCCACAAAAATCAAATTTCTGACCTTTTCTTCTTCATCCTCCATTTCCCCCCATTTCTCGACAAAGCCCACTTCTCGAAGCCCAACTCTTGAGGCCTCGGCTCTTCGTAAATACATATGGGTTCGGCCCAATTCGCCCCTCCGACTCGCTTCCCTTGACCATTTCGTGAACATGGAGGAGGTCCTCTCCACGCTCGCCCAAACCCATGATGAGCAGTCCCTTCATGCCGCCATGGCCCCATACAAGGGCCATGTCTCCCTACGCTTCATGGTGTCCCTTCTTGCTCGCGAGCCCGACTGGCGGCGCTGTCTCGCCCTCCACGATTGGATGCTCGAGAGTGCTTCCTATCCCCCTTCTGTCTTCGCATACAACGTTGTCATCCGAAATGTGCTACGAGCCCAACAGTGGGATCTTGCTTGTGGCCTCATGCATGAGATGCGTTCTCGACGCACGAGTCCAGACAAGTACACTTACTCAACCTTGATAGCTGCATTGGCTCGCGACGGCCAATTTGAGCCTGCTCTGTATTGGCTCCAGCAAATGGAGAAAGATGGAGTCAAAGGCGATCTTGTACTGTATACCAACCTTATTCATCTTGCGAGACGTTTGGGTGACCACACAAAGGCTCTGGCATTGTTTGCAAGCCTCCAGGCGGCGAACATTGTGCCTGACCTCATCGCCTACAATGCCGCCCTCGACGCATTGGCACGTGCAGGGCTCTTTGCACGTGCCGTAGCCCTCATCGCATCGATGCTCGAGCGCGGGGTGGCCCCTGATGCCGTGTCGTACACTTCGATTCTATCTGCTCTTGTTCGCGCTGACCGTTTGGTTGAAGCCCTCTCTTTGTTCTCACAAATGGCAGGAGGCCATGGCAATGGGGTTAGCCCTAAGCCTGACCTTACTGCTTGTAACATCATGATACATGTCTATGGAAGATTGGGCATGGTGAAGGAGGCCGATCGCTTGTTTTGGGGCATGATCCCGGCCATTGGGCTTGCCCCATCTGTTGTAACTTACAACACCATGCTTGCCGTTTATGGAGAGGCTGAGCTTTTCGGTGAGGCTATCCACTTGTTCCGCCTCATGCAAAAGAAGGGGATTGAACAAAATGTAGTCACCTACAACACCATGATTGGTATCTATGGGAAGTCACTCGAGCATGAGAAGGCCTCAAATTTGGTGCAAGAGATGCAAGGGCGGGGGATTGAGCCCGACGCTCTCACCTACTCCACAATTATCTCCATATGGGAGAAGGCGGGGAAGCTTGATAGGGCAGCTCGGCTCTTTCAAAAGCTTAGGAGCTCGGGGGCTAAGATTGATCAGGTGCTCTACCAAACCATGATCGTGGCATATGAGAAAGCCGGGCTTGTTGGGCATGCCAAGAGGTTGCTTCATGAACTTAGGCGTCCGGGTGGTGATGTGCCCAGAGAGACGGCTGTTGCTATACTTGCAAAGGCAGGGCGGATAGAGGAGGCCACTTGGGTTTTTCGTCAAGCCTTTGATGCAGGGGAGGTGAAGGATATTAGTGTGTTTTGTTGCATGATTGAGATGTTTGCAAGGCACAACAAGCACAAGAATGTTGTTGAGGTATATGAGAATATGAGAGAGGCTGGGCACTTTCCTGATTCAGACACGATCGCCACCGTGCTGAATGCTTATGGGAAGTTGCGAGAGTTTGAGAAGGCAGAAGCTGTGTACCAAGAGATGCAAGAGGAGGGGTGCATATTCTCGACCCAAATCCATTTCCAAATGCTGAGCCTCTATGGTGCAAGGAGAGATTTGGATGCGGTGGAATCTCTGTTTTTGAGGCTGGATTCAGATCCTAATACTAATAAAAAGGAGTTGTCTTTGGTGGTGGCTGCAATTTATGAAAGAGCAAACCGGCTAGACAAGGCTTCCCAAATTATTGAGAGGATAAGTGATAAAAATGACTTCTGAAAGGCACCTAAATGGGATGTTCTTCAACATGTTCAGCCATGCATGCACCTCGAAAAGTTGCATTTAAATGAGTTGTTCCATGTCAAGTAAGCATGACTATCGTAGGTTTATGCTTAAAATGAACTGGTCACTTTCTTATATCTGGTATGTTTAGGTTGCTCTTCAGATTATTTATGTTTTTTATGCAAGGTACTGGGACTTGGCTCTGCCAAGGGATTTGCCCCTGGCCGAGGCGAGTTACGTGGTTGAGTTTGAGTAATGAGAGTCCAGCTCATTTTAAAAAAAATAAAAAAAAGAATAAAAGATACTATATATAAAATGATTTGCCTATGTTTACACAATGCCTGAAATGGCACGGGTTAGATCTTGTGGGTCTCTCCCAAGAGGTCTTGGGATTGAATCTCATCACAAATTGACATATTAGTAACATAAATAAAAAACAAAAAGAGGAAAAGATACTATATATAACATAATTTAGCTATTGCTTTAAGCAGTGCATGAAATGATGCGTTGGCTAACTTCGGGGGTCTCTCCCAAGAGAGGTCTTGGGATTACATATTAGTAAAATAATTAAGAAAGGGATATTATGGTGGTGTTTGAGGGGGTTTGAGCCCCAAGCATGAAGCCCATAAACCGTACATTGAGAATCTTAGATAAATTTGGTGCAATAGCAAACCATCATTTTTTATTTTTGGTAAGTATAATTGGAATTTATCATTAATTGACTATATTTTGTGGCTCTCGCATTATAATAAGTATAACTAAATGCCACCAAAATATTCAATATGTGGTCAACACCTGTTATAAAGAGAGTCACAAGAATCTCAAGCATGGCTTAATGCCATGAGAGAGGAAATCGATTGAGAAAAATAAAGTCTTGGAGCTATATGATTTAGCTAACATAGGAAACCTCTAGGTTGTAAATGGGTACTTAAAAATAAGCTAAAATCTGATGTTATCCAAAAAGACCCTTGGATGTTATTTGCATTAAAATGAATGTGATATTATTTATAATATAAAATTAGGGTGCACACCTTACTTGGCCTCGCCTATGGGGCGAGTCAGAGTAACATGCCTGAGTCTAGTTTAACTCGGGCGAGTCACTGAGCATTTTTTCCTTGGATATATTGTATTAGACTTATTTTTTTATTTATCTTGACTAAGTGATAAAACGACTTTTTTTTTTTTTGCATACAAACGAAGCCAAAAGATATTATACTCGTGCTTGAGTATAAAACCCCACGTAGAATTAATTTTAGGACCAAATTTTGGGGACGTAACCTCTTCAACCCATAGATTAACGTCAATAAAAAAAATTCTTATTTGCACCCTTTATGCACTTGGAAAAGATAATGTCTTGAGATTGAATAGAGACGATCCAATTTAGATGGTGAGATCTAAGTCTTAGAAAACTCAAATTTCAATATTTTTTCTTTTGAGAATAATTATCTAATGATTTTTAGGTGGATCCCAAAATTTCAGATTGAAAAAATCCTCCCAAGTAGGTCTTCTAACAGAGGGAGTAGAAGTAAATTATGCTTCTGAGGGAGCATGGTATACATGCTCATGAATGAGTTGTCCATTTCTAAACCTAGTAAATGCTAGCTCTCAGACCAACTTGTTGAATGTCATCTACTGAAAGTTTACTCTATAGCTTGAAAAGGAAGCTAATTGATGTTTTCTCGTAGCTGTCATTAACCATGCCTTTGCTTTGTACTGAACGCAATTTTAAGAACTGTATTTATGAAGAGCAGAACCTAACACCCAGTAGCTTGATGAAAATAGGTCTATCTGAGTTTGGGATATGTAAGTATCACTTGGCCAGTTATCTTTCCTGTGCAGCTAGCATTAACATACTTTCCCTATGGTGCTTGGTCATGGAAGGGCGTTACTTCTGTTTAGGAGCCCTGTCTCGTGTGTCACCCTGATATGGAGACATGTAGTCGATATTCTGAAGATAGTAAGGGAGACCTGAATTTCTTTCTGCAGTAATATGGGACACAAGGGCATGGCTTAATAATAAAAAAAAATAGAAAATGTAAGGGATTACATATAGTGATAACTGCAGTTTACAAACAGCAAACTGCATGGTACATCAACCATCCATTGTTAACAATAGGTAGTTGAAATGACTGTTGCTCTGCCAAAGAGGACATTTTTTTTCATGAGGGGTTTTAAGCATATGATAAAATCAATATCTCACATTGCATTCATGAGAGATATTATTTTGGATGGAATAAGACATTACAATGTCTATAATTTCAATCAATCCCTCAAAAGATCTTATTTTGGACAGAATTGATAAATGTAAAGTACATTAATCATGCTCATTACATCTATTTTAGATAGATTGCATGAATGAAACAGGCAAGAAGGCTTAGAATAGTCTTTGAGTAAAAGAATTGAAATATCCTTGCATACAATAAAAATATGCTTTGAAATGGAACATATACATGATATGTACAGTGACCCAAGGGGCTATTGAAAGGAACCATAATTGCGGCAATAGACAATATTGCCCTGACACTTATTGTTGGCTGGCCTGAAGGGCCTTGTTAGAGGCACTCAATGTCTGCCATGTTACCACTATTCGAAAATCCAAATTGAAGATTTTTATGTTCACCCATCCTGACTATCAATAGGAATTGATACGTCATTGTGGTATATAGAAGCGGGATGTCCATGACATGTGCGGCTACTTAATTGAATTGAATTAAGTACAAAAGTTCAATGAATTTGCATTTCATTCCATTTTTCCAAGGAGAAGATTTCTGCCACCCCGGTCTGAACATGCCAGGTTGGTTGACAAACCCAGGGGCAAAGCAGCAAGGGGGAAGGGGGAGAGACGAGCTTTTTTCCCGCTAAACCTTGAATTGATTGGCTGTTACTGAATTCCAAAATTCTTAGTCGAATGAGGGATCAAGAGTCGTTGTTTGGGAAGCTCTCCCTGCCCCACGGACAAGTATCCTGTTATGGGATCAGAAGTGAATCCGTGAAACCCGTGATTGCCTTCCTTTAGCTGCCCAGCAGAACACGCCTTTGGATCATCAGTTCAATTATGAATGATGAGGAAAGAAAGGCCGGGAAGGGCTGTCTTTATGGAGGGAAAAGTCTGTATGTCTCTGGGGGGTGGGGGCTATCTATTTAGAAAGGGATCGGTCTCTTTTTTTCTGGGTGGGTTGGCCATAGATGTTTATGGCTGGATAATGTAAGCACTTGTTAGGCCCATGTGGAGCCCTCTGTTTATGTGTGCATGCGCGTGCATGTATGTGCATGTGTGTGAGTATGCGTGTGGGGGCTTGCATGGGGTTAGGTGTTCGTGGGTGAGCATGTGTGTGGTCGTGCACATATTTTTTACGTGTGTGTACATGTTAATAATATGGAGCCAACAGTATTGAGTCATGCAAGAATGCATGGGAAACTAGAGACGACTAAAAAAATTATTGGAGCACGATTTTGGAGAATCCTGTTTTCATTTTATATAAGTTTTCATAAATAAAATTGTTACCATGTATGAACTCAGTATGTATGAAACCAGTATACAGAATATTGATTGGGTGGTACTTCAAGAAATGGGTGGTTGGAATGTTTTGAAAGGTATATTTCGTTTCCCACTAACAATTTCATTTAACGTTATTCTTGGATGTCAAATGCTTCTGTTGGTTAATTTTATCTATTCATGCTCTGTCTGGGTGTCTGCGCACTCGCTCATGTGTGTTTTTGTATGTGTTGTTAATAATATGGATCCAACTGTATTGAGTCATGCCAGAATGCATGGGGAAACTGAAGGAGCATGACTTTGGAGAATCCTGATTTCATTCTATAAAAGTTTTCATGAATAAAATTGTTACTATGTATGAGCCCAGTATATAGAATATCGACTAAGTGGACTTAAAGAAATGGGTGGTTGGAGTGTTTTGAAAGTTGTATTTCTTTTTCTACTAACAATTTCATTTAACCTTATTCTTGGAACATCAAATGCTTCTATTGGTTAATTGTATCTATTCATGCTCTCTGTGCGCGCGCATGTGTTTGTGTTTGTGTGTTGATGTTTGTTAATTATATGGAGCCAGTTGTATTAAGTCATGCCAGAATGCATGGGGAAACTGGTGATGACTAAATAATTATTGAAGCATGATTTTGGAGAATCCTGTTTTCATTTTATAAAAGTTTCCATGAATAAAATTGTTACTATCTATGAACTCTATATAGAGTATTGACTGAGTGCACTTCAAGAAAAGGGTGGTTGGAATGTTTTGAAAGTTATACTTGTTCTCCTGTTAATTTCATTTGACCTCATTCTTGGACTTCAAGTGCTTCTATCGTTTGACCTATTCATGCTATGCAACTGGTGATAAGATGTTTATAGGTGCACAGGACCTGCAATAATTGGCCATATCATCACCCTCACAAGTCACAACACAAATTGATGGTTGGTACAACTGGAATGTATTTGGGTAAGTTGGTTAATTTAATTCTTACTTAGTATTTACTATTAGTATGGTCTTCTGACTTGTAAATGTATACTTCCTGACAAAAGAAAAGAATTACTTGAAGATAAGTGGGGGTACTGTATGACACTTTTTCGTTATATGCTGACGATATTATTATGGAAAAAATTTATATAGAGCCGAGGCTCTAAACAATCAAATTAGAGCCTACTTCAAAAATTCACTAGAAGAGGTTGTCTTGATGCCCAAATATCCTCAAATTGATCATCTTGACATCAAGATGCATGGACATGAGAAAAAAAGGGATTTCAAGTTTTAGAAATAGTGCATCTTGTAGCCAATTTTTGGACCGTCAATTTTCAAGATTTTTAAGTTTTTATAGATTTACTTGATCTACTCTATTTTTGAAGCTTTAAATTTTATAATTAAATATGAAAATATATTTTAAAGCTATCACAAAGATTTCCAGTATTGAAACCAATTTGCTCGACACTATTTGAAGGTGCGATTTACTTTGATTGTTTAGAGCCTCGGCTCCATAGAACCGCAACCTATTATTATTGGCAAGTAAAAATATGATATATCTAGTGCATATGAAAATTCGGTTGGAATCCATCTATGAAGTTAATGACTTGGGTGGAGCAAATTATACATTTGGGATGAGAATAAACAAAATAAAAAATATATTTATCTCAATCACAATATATTGAGAAAATCTTGAAAGCTTGTAATAGGTTTGATATGAAACTCGTCAATAAAGTGGTGGGGTGCGCAAACTATCAATGGACGTGTCAGAGTGATGAACTATGTTAAAGGAGTAAGGAAAGTTTCATATGCTAGTGTAATTGGGAGTTGAGAGTTTGAATTATGTCATACATGCGCTGGATCTGACATGACATATGCAGTCAATATCATTATACATTCACAAGCAATCTAGGCATTAAATAACAGAATATTGTGATGAGAATTAGGAGGAATCTCTGAAGAACAATGAATTGGAGGCTTCAAAATAAGGATTTGAGATGGGGCTTAATTGGTTAAGGTGTTGACGTTTCCAATAATGCTACATTCCACGACAAGCTACTTTCCACGACAAATCCTACTGCTGAACTATCTAAAAAAAAAAAGACTTTCAAATTGGTAGATCCTCTGTGGTTCTTAAGGATATAGTTTAAGTAGATTGGACAGGAGATGTTGACAGTAGTTTCAGCTTATGGGTCTTCTTACCTGGTGGGCACTGATTTATTGTTGGAATGTGAAACTCAAGATTTTATTTATAAGTCAACTATGCAGTAGGAATATTTTTCTCTTAATGATGCTAGCATGGCAGATGAATGGATTATGGATTATGCATCCTCCTCACAAAATTCTTTTTCTTGGTCAAGCAGAAAGGAGTACAAAACATCATGGACAACATGTGGACAACATGTTAAGTAAAACATCATGGACAACATGTTAAGTAAAAACATCATAATGATAGAGATCTTGTAAGTCTAGGTCTCATATGTTTGGAAAATATTTCAACAGCCTTGGTTATTACTGATTCATTAACCAAAGTCATGCTATACCAGAAGTATGCACATAATTAAGATAAGACTTACCAATGCTTGCATAGAATCATGTTGATGTGCCTTATGTCTATTATGCATGCACTGATTATTGCAATACTGTTGATTGTAGGAATTATCCGCTAAATACCATGATTATAGTTGTGATGAAAGTTAAGACATATGATCAAACATATAGTAATGGTTGAAGTCTCACGAACTTTGGAAATTTGAAATCCAAGTCCATGGTTGTTGGGAGTGGGATTGGAACGGCTCCGGGATCGGGTGCAGGATCAATGGATTGAAGCTACCCTGAAGATCCCTATGTTTGGGATCGATGTCCGTACAACCTCAAATGTAGGGAAAAGGGTCCATGTGTGTTGGGGATCGAGTTCCTCTATTAGATGGGGTCGATTATTATAATATTTTGGGGAGAGGGATCCTCTGATTAGGAATGAAGTTCCCAAGCTCAAGTTTGTGATTTTCTTAACCTGGGCAGTGTTATGGGAAAATTGATCCAACATAGTATGGAGCCAGGAATCAATTTTATAGGAGCGAGCTCCATTTATTTGAAAAGCAAGATCCTTATCTCTAAGTTTAAATAGCGCTCCCTGGCTTTACTGGGTAGTTCCGAGCGTTATTAATGAATAATAATATGTAATCTTAAACTTCTGTTAAATAAATAGGGAGCTTTAAATTACTCCATAGTTCATTATATTAAATATAGTTATATAAATTCATTAAATAAGTTATGACCTTTATAGTTTTGACTTTGGATGCAGTTTCTATAAGGTGGAAACCTTATACTATACAAATAAGGTGTGCCTCAAAAATTTATCCAAAAAGGTTATTCCCATTCTAGAAACCTTATGATAGCTAAAAATCTATTTTCCCTAATTTTGAAATGTAAATCTCAAAAAATGATGTAGATCAAGCAGATCTATAAATACTCAAAAATCTTGAAAATGCACGGTCTAGTTCATGTGTTATAAGATGTACTACTTTTGGGACTCAAAATCTAGTTCCTCTTTCATATCCATATATCTTGAGGCTGAGATCATCTAGAAGATTTCTCACCATCAATATTTTCGCACCTTACAACTACAGTATAAGGTGACACCTTATATAAACTTTTTCCTTTTAAGTACAAAACTTACGCCTCACTACTGCCATGCCTTTCTTTGAATTGCTGTGTGTAAGAAAATGTAACCCAAAACTATGCTTTTTATTATTGCCTACTAAATAAGCAAAGAAAGACGGAGCATTCATTTTCGAGAATTGCAGGGAATTTGGATGCAATATACAGTGATCCTTGTGTTCCAATGTAATGGAATCTAGATCTAAAGATTCTTAGGATCGAGAACCATATCACTCAAGAATTAGATCCTATAGTAACCGGGAACACAAACACATAAAGGAAACTCGTTCCCTCGAAAAAGGGAACGAGATCCTGAATGCCAAAAAACCAAGATCCGTGAGAGATTGGTTCTGGGAGTGATGGAATCAAGATCCTATATGGGATGATCGCTTACCAAAGTAGGCAATCCTGGTAGCTATAAATCCAACAAACGAACGTATTTAGTTCAAAGTATATACCTATCAATGATCAAAATAGTTCAACAGGATAACAAGAGTTCACAAGTCGGGTTGCCTCCTTAAAGTTGAGTGATTAATGTATCTATCAGTTGTGTAGAAAAAGAAAAAGGAGGAAAGGGGGGGGGAGGAGGGGTTGGGGTAGTAATTTGACCCTACTTGATTGATTTCTATTTGAGGAATATGCCTTGTAAAAACTTCCTTACTGGGTGTTTGTATAGGTTTGTATTTCATAAGAAGTGCTCAATAGTTCAATTAGATCTATAAGATTGATTCCGGAATGATACCCAGTAAGTTCACCTCTCAAATGAATCATATTTATAGTGGCAGGTTACTTAAGGAGCTTGGCAATGATGTTGTTGCCTATGAGCCCTGTGGGAAAGTATTTTAGAGGCACTAGAATTCAAG